CCATCTAGTTGGTGAACGGTAAATTAGCTGCACTGACAGTTCGGTTAAGGACCCGAGGTCCAGTCGCACTTCCTGCTCTGGGTGTTGAACACCAGACCCTGGGGACAAGACATTTCAACAGCTCGACTATGGACACACATATAGAACTTGCTAGGATCGTTGTGAGGGAAGAGTGCTCTGTTGTTGCTGGAGTTGCAAGGGTCGGAAGAGGACGTCGACGTCGAGGCGTGGGAGCAGGTGGAGTGAGGGTTGTTCCAGGTCAGTCCGTCTGGGCATGGCTTGACCCATGCCTGACCCCACACATCGCACTGGACATACTTGGACTCGTCGCCGGGGAACGGGAAGTAGAACTCGCCGCGGGCCAGATTCTCTGCTGTGCACTGGTCTTGGATGTTGCTGGGGAGAGGAGACGAGTTGCCTCCCCCTATGGCGTCGTGACTGCAACTCTCGGTGTTCTCGTTGTAAGTCTTGTTGTTCGGGCACTGGGTTATGTACATTTTCCCTGTGATGTCACATCGGATGAACTTTGTCATGTCTGACGGATGAGGATGTGTGGACACTGCACCGGCCTGGCAGGGGTTACTTACACCTGTCCATGTATCTGGAGCAACAGACGGAAGCAGAGAGGGAAGTGTTACACCAAGGCAATATGGAAACCAAGGGATATGGACATACCAGTAATGGGCGTCATAGTAACCAGTGTCACACCAAGGTAACCTGGAAACCAAGAGATATGGGCATACCAGTAATGGGCGTCACAGTCTCCTGTGCTACGGCAAGGTAATATTGAAAGTGTTAATGAAAATATTGGACGACAAAGTGAGCGTGTGAACCTCGAACTATCACATGGACCCCCCACATATGTCATACACGGAAACACACAGTCACAAAACTTCAAATGATGTGTTGACGGAATCCATTAACTTGTCTCTGAGCAGGAAATGCTTTGTGTTATATCCAGCATTACACAGAAGACTCACCTTGACACAGGAGGTTGCTGTAGATACTGCCTCTGAGATCCTCCTCCGTGCACCCCCGTTCCGTCTGCCCCACTCGACACACTACGTCAGCTCCTGAACAAAGCCTCAGAATGTACAGTACATCTATCCAAGGGAGAGTTACCTACAGCTATTGTGATCTTATCATAACAAGGCGCTGTTAAGGTGCACCAAAGATATAGGTTGTTGCCCCATCATGGGGATCGGTTTGGCGCCATGATGAAGCAGATGTTCTTGGCTGACAGACTGCCAGCACACTGACTACTCGAGCGAGCCATGGGTGGAGCCAGCATGAATACACGAGGTCATTTAGAATGTGGTCAGATGTCGGAAGTTATCTTTGGGATACACTATGTCTCTTCCGGGGTTCGAACCCACACTTTCTTAATTGTAAACTATTTCTTCACACGTGGTGATTTTAACAACAGAAGCGATTTCGGGCCAAACAATAACATTCACAAGCAAGGATACAGATATGGTCATATATTCACAAGCAAGGATATAGATATGGTCATATATTCACAAGCAAGGATATAGATATGGTCATATATTCACAAGCAAGGATATAGATATGGTCATATATTCACAAGCAAGGATATAGATATGGCCGTATATTCACAAGCAAGGATACAGAAGCAATGATACAGATATGGTCATATATTCACAGAAGCAAGGATACAGATATGGCCGTATATTCACAAGCAAGGATACAGATATGGCCGTATATTCACAAGCAAGGATACAGACAGGGTCATATATATTCACAAGGAGAAAGGATACAGATATGGCCGTATATTCACAAGCAAGGATACAGATATGGTCATATATTCACAAGCAAGGATATAGATATGGTCATATATTCACAAGCAAGGATACAGATATGGGCGTATATTCACAAGCAAGGATACAAAAATACAAATATGGTCTTATATTCACAAGCAAGGATACAGATATGGCCGTATATATTCACAAGCAAGGATATAGATATGGGCTTATATTCACAAGCAAGGATACAGATAGTCATATATGGCACAAGTATATATTCACAAGCAAGGATATAGATATGGCCGTATATTCACAAGCAAGGATACAGATATGGTCATATATTCACAAGCAAGGATACAGATATGGTCGTATATTCACAAGCAAGGATACAGATATGGTCGTATATTCACAAGCAAGGATACAGATAGGGTCATATATTCACAAGCAAGGATACAGATATGGCCGTATATTCACAAGCAAGGATATAGATATGGCTTTATATTCACAAGCAAGGATATAGATATGGCTGTATATTCACAAGCAAGGATACAGATATGGTCATATAATCACAAGCAAGGATATAGATATGGCTGTATATTCACAAGCAAGGATATAGATATGGTCTTATATTCACAAGCAAGGATACAGATATGACCGTATATTCACAAGCAAGGATACAGATATGGTCGTATATTCACAAGCAAGGATACAGATATGGTCATATATTCACAAGCAAGGATACAGATAGGGTCGTATATTCACAAGCAAGGATATAGATATGGTCATATATTCACAAGCAAGGATACAGATAGGGTTATATATTCACAAGCAAGGATATAGATATGGTCATATATTCACAAGCAAGGATATAGATATGGTCATATATTCACAAGCAAGCAAGGATATATAGATATTGTCATATATTCACAAGCAAGGATATAGATATGGTCATATATTCACAAGCAAGGATATAGATATGGTCATATATTCACAAGCAAGGATACAGATAGGGTCATATATTCACAAGCAAGGATATAGATATGGTCATATATTCACAAGCAAGGATACAGATATGGTCATATATTCACAAGCAAGGATACAGATATGGCGTATATTCACAAGCAAGGATATAGATATGGTTTTATATTCACAAGCAAGGATACAGATAGTGTCGTATATTCACAAGCAAGGATACAGATATGGTCATATATTCACAAGCAAGGATACAGATATGGTCGTATATTCACAAGCAAGGATACAGATAGTGTCATATATTCACAAGCAAGGATACAGATAGTGTCATATATTCACAAGCAAGGATACAGATACAACAAAAGAAAAATACAGTGGTTATCGTGAGTTGACGAGAAAAGAACTTCCACTTACTTGCAGGCTCAGTAGTGACGGACACACGGTATGAAGCATGCGAACAGCGTGTGACGTCAGCAGTAGTTACTGGTACACGTGACCCGATGACTGTGATGTAGAGTGGTCTCCCTTGATCTGTGGTGTTGAGATAGATAACTGATGGCCTTCCCTCCCTTGCGCTGTCACGGATGTCGTAAAAGGCAGGGCCTGGGCGAGGTGTGTTGTGGGAGGCGTAAATCTCCAGCCTGCCACACTCAACTTCGGACCTCTATCATACAAAGAAAGACAAAGCCATTGCTTGAATGTTTACAAGTCATCACCAGCCGTGTCCCCAGGACAACGATACATGTGTACACAACATTGTGCACTTAAAAGAAGTCACAAATCCGTTGGTATATGACCAGATTGTGGCCACATGAACACCTAGTTGCGGGTACAGCAACGTGCAGTATACTTGAACAAAGTACTGTGACTATGTGCCCCAGTCCACCCAATTGTGAATGGGTACGTCGTTAGGATGGAAAAAGCCAAATTAACTCGGTGCGCCTAGTGGGAGCAAGAATTGTATGATCCCCAGGGAGTTGAGATTGATAATACAATGTGCCATTTGAGATTGACATCCAGTGATCGAGGGAAGAGCAGCGCGGACTTGAGCAGGTGATCTGGATATACTCGCTATACAAATATGTATGTATATATAAATACATCCGTCACTTACTCACTCTGGTTAGGAGCGTCCGCCCGAGAGAGGAAGGTCGTGGAGTTCGATCCCCGACCGCGTCATACCAAAAGACGTTAAAAATATGGTACTTTGTTGGTCCCTGCCTGGCGCTCGGCATTAATGGGTACAACAAGGACTGGTCGGCTCGGAGTCAGTATAATGTGTCTGAGTGGGGTATTCATGCTTCACTGCGGCATGGTATCTCAGTGGGCTAGCACTATAAAACCAGCTTAAGTCTGGGCTAGTACAAGCAGTCGCACATACACATACACACGCATGCACGTCGTCATATAGGCGAAATATTCTCAAGTACGACGTAAAACCAATTTCACCTCACCACCTCACCTCACTTACATCCGTCACTCACTCACTCACTCACTCACGTACCACCACCGTGGCCTGGCTGTGATCACCGTCAGATGTAGTCGTCGTGTTGTCGCTGGGGCCGGTGGGGGTTTGGGCAACGTAGATGTCGGAGACTGTCTGGTTTTCAGGCAGGACTTTCCTCACGGAGGTGTCAGTATCAGAGATGATCTTCGCGGCTGAAGTGGTATATCAACTGTGTCATCCACCCACAATACGTAAACAACCAATGCATCATTCATGATAAATGACTTCAACTAAAGAGCACATCCACCCCTGAAAGCTGAGGGCGATGGGGCAACCTTGTAGTTAAAGCTTTCGCTCGTCACTCCGAAGACCTGGGTTCGATTCCCCACATTGGTACAATGTGTGAAGCCCATTTCTGGTGTCCCCCGACGTGATATAGCTGGAATATTGTTAAAAGCGGTGTAAAACTTAACTCACTCACTCACCCGAAAGCTGAGGGCGATGGGGTAACCTTGTGGGTAAAGCGTCCGCTCGTCACGCCGAAGACCCCGGGTTCGATTCCTATCATGGGCACTCATGTGTGAAGCCCTGGTGTCCTCTGCCGTGTTATTGATAAAATATTGCTAAAAGCGGCGTAAAACTGAACTCACTCACTCAGACACGGGAAGCTGACCCATACGTTTGATAAAACGAAAATCTGACTATTTATGCACACCGCACATGCCAGCTTCAATGCTCGTGCTAGGATTAACGCTACTCTGACGGAGGGCTCCAGATGTTGGGGGGAACGTAGTGGGAACACACCTGTGCAGGAGCTGTCCTTCAGCTGATACAGCAGAGAGTCGATCTCCAGGAAGTTGTTGAGGACAAATACATGGGTACAGTTAGGTTTACTGGCGATACTGGCCAGCTCCACTTCATTGATGCTGCCCACGCCAACGGAGAGAAGAACGTGATGCCCAGGTCCCTGGCTTTCTGGGCGGCAAATACAGTGTAGTTGCGATAGCTGGACGCGCCGTCGGTCAGCAGAATGGCCACTCTCTTGGCGTTTGGCCGGGCACCTGTCGACGTGTTGAACAGGGTGTCACCTGCCTCCTGGATGGCGAGATGAGTTGCCGTTCCACTGTTTCCTTTCCTCATTCGCAAGATGGACGACTTCAGGGCTGCCTTAGTGGTGAAGCTGTTGAACGTGATCATATCTCCAACAGTAGTGGAGAATTCCAGGGCAGACACTTGGATTTCATCTTCATTTATGTTCAGACTATCTATGACGTCATTAATGAAAGTCAACATCCGGTCGTAGTCGGTGGAAGAGACGCTTCCAGACCCGTCAACGATGAAGGCCAGGTCCATCTCCGTCTTACAATCTGTATGTAAGAGGGAGAAAGCGTTTTTGTGGATTCAGGCGATGTTACACATTGAATATAAGTGGTCAAAACAAGAGAAATACACTATGGCACTGTACAGTCTGTACGTATGAGTACGTAATTTGTGTAGCATAATGACAAAACGCAACCATTTAATGCTGAGTTCTGCCTTTGTTGTAACCGAAAAACATAAATTCCTTCAACTGCACTTCATGTCACTCTTGACCAGCACAAAAACAGTCGGTTGTGATTGTCAGCGTTTGGGAGTGAACGAGCAAGGAAGAGCAATCGGTATGAGAAAGGTGGGTCTCGTACAGTCACATGGTCAGACCATGCAGAAGGTTGCAAGAGAACGCAATAGTAAACAACTTATAACACGGGTTCTCGTCCTCGCTGGACATCGGATTGTATTTGACCACCCGCGAATGGTCAGCACTCAAGGCCACGCCATCTGTACTTCCTTTCAAAAGTTTAGACTCACTTGAAGCACTCACTATATGTTTATGTATATATATGGTTACATCGAAGATTGATTTCTCCACTAACTTGGGGAACCACGAGGATCATGAATGAAATTGTTAAAAACCATGTGCAAATATCGTGCATGTGAACAGCTACGTTTTGGTGTAAAGCTGTGTTAAGAATTCGCCACTTGTCACTGGTTTTCAATAATCTTTTTAACGTTACGAATTCGTTTTACAATATATCAATTCATGTGTAAACAGTACCTTTTAACAGTATGGAATATTTTCCAAATTTTAGCATAGAACAATTGCCTGAAGTAAGTGGTTATCTTTATACTAGTGAGTTTAAGCTTTTGAAAGGAAGTATGCGTAACAGCTTTCTGACGACTTCACCTTCATCAGCCATTCACTGTCAGCACAACAGTATAAACAGCGATGGGGCGACTGCGTGTAGCTACTATGTCCTGGACCAGCACAACAGTATGAACAGCGATGGGGCGACTGCGTGTAGCTACTATGTCCTGGACCAGCACAACAGGTATGAACAGGGATGGGGCGACGGCGTGTGCTAGCTACTATGTCCTGACCAGCACAACAGTATGAAAAGCGATGGGGCGACTACGTGTGTAGCTACTATGTCCTGGACCAGCACAACAGTATGAACAGCGATGGGGCGACTGCGTGTAGCTACTATGTCCTGGACCCGCCCAACAGTATGAACAGCGATGGGGCGACTACGTGTAGCTACTATGTCCTGGACCAGCACAACAGTATGAACAGCGATGGGGCGACTGCGTGTAGCTACTATGTCCTGGACCAGCACAACAGTATAAACAGCGATGGGGCGACTGCGTGTAGCTACTATGTCCTGGACCAGCACAAACAGTATGAACAGCGATGGGGCGACTGCGTGTAGCTACTATGTCCTGGACCAGCACAACAGTATGAACAGCGATGGGGCGACTGCGTGTAGCTACTATGTCCTGGACCAGCACAACAGTATGAACAGCGATGGGGCGACTGCGTGTAGCTACTATGTCCTGGACCAGCACAACAGTATGAACAGCGATGGGGCGACTGCGTGTGCTACTATGTCCTGGACCCGCCCAGCAGTATGAAAAGCGATGGGGCGACTGCGTGTAGCTACTATGTCCTGGACCAGCCCAACAGTATGAACAGCGATGGGGCGACTGCGTGTAGCTACTATGTCCTGGACCAGCACAACAGTATGAACAGCGATGGGGCGACTGCGTGTAGCTACTATGTCCTGGACCAGCACAACAGTATGAACAGCGATGGGGCGACTGCGTGTAGCTACTATGTCCTGGACCAGCCCAACAGTATGAACAGCGATGGGGCGACTGCGTGTAACTACTATGTCCTGGACTCGCCCAACAGTATGAACAGCGATGGGGCGACTGCGTGTAGCTACTATGTCCTGGACCAGCACAACAGTATGAACAGCGATGGAGCGAATGCGTGTAGCTACTATGTCCTGGACCAGCACAACAGTATAAACAGCGATGGGGCGACTGCGTGTAGCTACTATGTCCTGGACCAGCACAACAGTATAAACAGCGATGGGGCGACTGCGTGTAGCTACTATGTCCTGGACCAGCACAACAAGTATGAAAGGCGATGGGGCGACTGCGTGTAGCTACTATGTCCTGGACCAGCACAACAGTATGAACAGCGATGGGGCGACTGCGTGTAGCTACTATGTCCTGGACCAGCACAGCAGTATAAACAGCGATTGGGCGACGGCGTGTAGCTACTATGTCCTGGACCAGCACAACAGTATGAACAGCGATGGGGCGACTACGTGTAGCTACTATGTCCTTGAACAGCACAACAGTATGAAAAGCGATGGGGCGACTGCGTGTAGCTACTATGTCCTGGACCCGCCCAACAGTATGAACAGCGATGGGGCGACTGCGTGTAGCTACTATGTCCTGGACCAGCACAACAGTATGAACAGCGATGGGGCGACTGCGTGTAGCTACTATGTCCTGGACCAGCACAACAGTATGAACAGCGATGGGGCGACTGCGTGTAGCTACTATGTTCTAGACCCAGTAACATCGTCAACAACGTCTACGCGGGGCGAGGACTGTACACGTTTAACTGGAGACGAGTATGATGGAATTTTAACATGCTTCTCCGCGGCGACCGTGCTGTCATGGTACTCAACTGAAGGTATAGGGGACGCGTCTTGTCAAAACTGTTAGATTTGAATACTTCATGATAACATCGTGTTTAATTTGTCATAGCTGTCGGTCATGAGAGGCGTGCCAATTTACACTTGTACGAGCCTCGGTGGCTGAGTTGGCTGAGTGGGTTAGATCGCTGACTTTGTGGCGATTAGATGTCTCACTCTGAGAGCGTGGCTGGAACACCTGATGGGCACAACCTCGACATGTACTTGAGATACAAGTGGCGGATATATAAACATGTTTTCGGAAGTAAAGACAACTGGTAATTATCTTTGTCACATGTCACTATGGTTGTCATTGCTCAACAAATGCTGACCGATAGTGTACCGACTGTGCTTACCCATCCCTGGCAAATTCCAAGCTTTTGTAGTAAATGCCGAGGTATCTCCCCACTGCGCATGTATCGTTTCCAGAAGGAGGCTTGCGAGGTGACGTTGGCCGGTGTATCATGTCTCCCGGATCGATATTTAATGTACAGAGACGCTGCCAGACCAGAATAAATACAACGGCTTCCTGAGATCTTCCCATGTTGCATTGCGCCAGTTAATATTAAACTCTGATTGGATGATGTCACATTCTGCCCGGATGTAAAGCGAACAGGACTGAGTCAGACTGAATTTGTCTTCGTCGATCTGAAACAGAGGTTCTGGGCTGATAATATGCTGTCTCTGTACAGTCACTTCTCTTGTCATGTATCCTTCCACCCCATGTATATCCGTCACCCTCTGCTATCATGTATCCTTCCACCCCATGTATATCCGTCACCTCTGCTGTCATGTATCCTTCCAACCCCATGTATATCCGTCACCTCTCTTGTCATGTATCCTTACACCTAATGTATATCCATCACCTCTTGTCATATGTCCTTACATCCCATGTATATCCGTCACCCTCTGCTGTCATGTATCCTTACACCCCATGTATATCCGTCACCTCTGCTGTCATGTATCCTTACACCCCATGTATATCTGCTGTCACCTCTGCTGTCATGTATCCTTACATCCCATGTATATCCGTCACCTCTCTTGTCGTGTATCCCCATACCCCATGTATATCCGTCACCTCTCTTGTCATGTATCCTTACACCCCATGTATATCCGTCACCTCTCTTGTCATGTATCCCGAGCATCCTGCATGTATATCCGTCACCTCTCTTGTCATGTATCCTTCCACCCCATGTATATCCAAATCACCTCTTGTCATGTATCCTTACACCCCATGTATATCCGTCACCTCTTGTCATGTATCCTTCCACCCCATGTATATCCGTCACCTCTCTTGTCATATGTCCTTCCACCCCATGTATATCCGTCAATTCCCTCTTTGTCATGTGTCCTTACATCCCATGTATATCCGTCACCTCTCTTGTTATCTACTATGTCCTGGGCCAGCACAACAGTATGAACAGCGATGGGGCGACTGCGTGTAGCTACTATGTCCTAGTAACATCGTCTACAACGTCTACGCGGGGCGAGGACTGTACACGTTTAACTGGAGACGAGTATGGTGGAATTTTATCATGCTTCTCCGCGGCGACCGTGCTGTCATGGTAGTCAACTGAAGGTATAGGGGACGCGTCTTGTCAAAAACTGTTTAATTTGAATACTTCATGATAACTTCGTGTTTAATTTGTCATAGCTGTTGGTCATGAGAGGCGTGCCAATTTACACTTGTACGAGCCTCGGTGGCTGAGTTGGCTGAGTGGGTTAGATCGCTGACTTTGTGGCGATTAGATGTCTCACTCTGAGAGCGTGGCTGGAACACCTGATGGGCACAACCTCGACATGTACTTGAGATACAAGTGGCGGATATATAAACATGTTTTCGGAAGTAAAGACAACTGGTAATTATCTTTGTCACATATCACTATGGTTGTCATTGCTCAACAAATGCTGACCGATAGTGTACCGACTGTGTCCTTACCCATCCCTGGCAAATTCCTGGCTTTTGTAGTAAATGCCGAGGTATCTCCCCCACTGCGCATGTATCGTTTCCAGAAGGTGGCTTGCGAGGTGACGTTGGCCGGTGTATCATGGCTCCCGGATCGATATTTAATGTACAGAGAGGCTGCCAGACCAGAATACAACGGCTTCCTGAGATCTTCCCATGTTGCATTGCGCCAGTTAATATTAAACTCTGATTGGATGATGTCACATTGTGCCCGGATGTACTGCGAACAGGACTGAGTCAGATTGAATTTGTCTTCGTCGATCTGAAACAGAGGTTCTGGGCTGATAATATGCTGTCTCTGTACAGTCACTTCTCTTGTCATGTATCCTTCCACCCCATGTATATCCGTCACCTCTGCTGTCATGTATCCTTCCACCCCATGTATACCCGTCACCTCTGCTGTCATGTATCCTTCCACCCCATGTATATCCGTCACCTCTCTTGTCATGTATCCTTACACCCAATGTATATCCGTCACCTCTCTTGTCATGTATCCTTACATCCCATGTATATCCGTCACCTCTGCTGTCATGTATCCTTACACCCCATGTATATCCGTCACCTCTCTTGTCATGTATCCTTACACCCAATGTATATCCGTCACCTCTCTTGTCATGTATCCTTACATCCCATGTATATCCGTCACCTCTCTTGTCATGTATCCTTACACCCCATGTATTCCTCAACTCATTTGTCATAGGTCCTTAAGCTCCATATATTTCTCTCAACTCATTTGTCATAGGTCCTTACGCTCCATATATATCCGTCACTTCTCTTGTCATATGTCCTTCCACCCCATGTATATCCGTCACCTCTCTTGTCATATGTCCTTCCACCCCATGTATATCCGTCACCTCTCTTGTCATATGTCCTTCCACCCCATGTATATCCGTCACCTCTCTTGTCATATGTCCTTACACCTCATGTATATCTGTCACCTCTCTTGTCATATGTCCTTACACCCCATGTATATCTGTCACCTCTCTTGTCATATGTCCTTACACCCCATGTATATCCGTCACCTCTCTTGTCATATGTCCTTACACCCCATATATGTCATTTGTATACCTCAGCCCATTTGTCATAGGTCCTTACGCTCCATATATTTCCCTCAACTCATTTGTCATAGGTCCTTACGCTCCATATATTTCCCTCAACTCACTTGTCATATGTCCTTACGCCCCATCTATATCTGAACTCACATGCTATATGTGCTAATGCCTTTTCTAGTTTCAAGTACCGTACACCCCACCTATCCCCTTCCCCCCACCAACTCACCTGCCATATGCCACCGTTGTAACCTGGACGGTAAGTTCTGGACTCTTCCCCGTCAGACGTCTCCACGTAAGCAAGACGTCGCAGGAACAGACGGTCGTCCCCGAAAATGCATTTTGATCTGATTCTATCAATGACGGCGTCGACAACGATCTTTCCATCGGCACCGGGAGACAGGGTAAGGTCTGCAGCGAGGGAGACTCCCACGGCAACTGACAATACGAGGTAGACAGCTGGACCGGTCATCGTGGTGTGGGTGCTGCCTGCTACCTCCTTCTGTCCTGTGGGGCACCCGGCTCGCCCTAATATAGCGGCAGACCCGGATGAACAGTGCGTGCTGCCTTCTCCTCAATGGCTGTTATTGTCGATTGCTAAGTTGACTGGACTATGCCCCCCAGAATCAAGTTGTCATCATGATCTCGTGAACACATTTACTTTCATATAATCTTACATAATATAACACCCATTTACACAGTTCGTGAGTGTTATGGTTAGTTTACATGGGAACATAATACAGGTGTTGGACAAGAAAAGAATATCATTATGTATGTAAATATCACCGCATATCAGTCTAGAAAAGTCTTGGCACATCTGTGAGGAAAAACACCGCCTTGTCACGTTCAGCCCCACGCAAAGAGAGACTGCACCCCCCCCCCCCTAAATGTTTATGTACGCATGAGTAATATGTCCGTGATATGACAGTGATATGGTCTCAAAAGACCTTTCCATCAATGTTAATTTCGTGGAATTACAGCGAAAAAAAATCAAATTTTCTCCAGGAAATTACTGAGTCACACCAAGACAGGTTTAAACGCATACATAATACATGCATTAAAGTCATAGACATGAGCTGACTGCTGTGTGTATCGTGTGGTCCCAGTCACGTGGTGTGGAGACAAACCTGAAGTGGTGCATGCTATAGACAGGAGCTGACTGTTGTGTATATCGGGTGGTCCCAGTGACGTGGTGTGGAGACAAGCCTGAAGTGGTGCATGTTATAGACAGGGGCTGACTGTTGTGTATATCGGGTGGTCCCAGTGACGTGGTGTGGAGACAAGCCTGAAGTGGTGCATGTTATAGACAGGGGCTGACTGTTGTGTATATCGGGTGGTCCCAGTGACGTGGTGTGGACACAAGCCTGAAGTGGTGCATGTTATAGACAGGAGCTGACTGTTGTGTATATCAAGTGGTCCCAGTGACGTGGTGTGGAAACAAGCCTGAAGTTGTGCAAGTTATAGACAGGAGCTGACTGGCGTGTGTATCGGGTGGTCCCAGTGACGTGGTGTGGATCAAGCCTGAAGTGGTGCATGTTATAGACAGGAGCTGAATGTTGTGTACATCGGGTGGTCCCAGTGACGTGGTGTGGAGACAAGCCTGAAGTGGTGCATGTTATAGACAGGAGCTGACTGTTGTGTACATCAAGTGATCCCAGTGAAGTTGTGTGGAAACAAGCCTGAAGTGGTGCATGTTATAGACAGGAGCTGAATGTTGTGTATATCGGGTGGTCCCAGTGACGTGGTGTGGAAACAAGCCTGAAGTGGTGCAAGTTATAGACAGGGGCTGAATGTTGTGTATGTCGGGTGGTCCCATTGACGTGGTGTGGAGACAAGACCTGAAGTGGTGCAAGTTATCGACAGGAGCTGACAGCTGTGTGTATCGGGTGCTTAAAGTGAAAAATAACCACGTATTTTTAGCAAAAGTAAACATTCTCGCCCATAGTCCATGGTCTGTGCGAGTTTCAATAAAACCTCTTTTTTCATTTTTTCATCCTTAGCATTTATTAATGATAACTGCATGTTGAATTATTGTCAAATTCTTTGTCAGACACTGGCCACAGTGCGGAGAGTTTTTGGAATTTTGTGTTTCCAGAATTAAATTGTGACGAGTAGAAGATATTCCAATACCTGGTCAGCGGATCCTGCCCCAGACAACAAAGTGCTGGGTTTTCTCTGTGATAAGGGCGGGTTCTAAATGCGTTGATCAACAGCCCACTCACGTCAAGGAACGTGACATTGAAGTCAAATTAACCATAAAGAAGAGCAAGTGTAATATGATCCTCGATCAACAGTCCTCAAATATATATGTTCTCAAGTACGCCAGTTTTCATGAGGATAAAAAATAACAGAAACATAATCAAATACTGACAAGGAGGGAAGTCTGTAGTAGACAAGGATGTGGTATCGGGTTACACGTGTTTCCCCAGGTCCCCGTGGGTCTCGTGTTTGTGAATCAATTACATAAGTAAACATTGCAAGTATTCTTGAGGACTTGTTGACGTCGGGACTTTACTTTACCTCACGGACAAAACATACGAGTGAAAATATCACTTTGGTCCATCACGTGATAGCACTGGCTTCCATTTTGGAGCGTTGCACACTGTGAAACAGACCCTGGTGAAGATTTCAATGTCCCAACTTTCGTATGATTCACCTTTTTTTCCAGTTTTTGCAGTTTATTCCATAAATGAAGCCACACTTTAAAACATATGACCTTTAGTTTTGGACGCACAAACGCTATCGCTATGGATACTAAAACCTGATGGGTAGAAGTTCCCCGGTAGGACTTCCAAAGTCTATAGCGCAGTACACAGCCTCATTGAAGTTCAGGGCGGTAGGGTAGTCTAGGTGTTAAGAGTCTCCTCGTCACGCTCAAGACGCGGGTTCGTTTCCCATATGGGCACAATGTGTATAGTCCATTTCTGGTGTCCCCCGGCGTGATATTGCAGGAGTAATGCTAACACGGCGTGAAAATAAACTCACTCACTTAAGCAACTTTACTCTCTTTTTAACACAAAAGTTACGGAACGTGAGCCTGGTACTGACATTATCATCTGACGTAGCTCACAAAAATACACGAGTGTTAACACGTCATTGTTGCTAAGGAAAATATATTTAAATCCAACTTATATATCAGACAGTAATAATCTGCGTTGTATTAACCTCCCTGAGCGACAACTTGATGTCCTCAAGTCTTTAATGAGTTGCTGGTCGACTCAACTTGAGATGTACTCGCAAGGGCAGGTGCAGACTTCGGAATCTATTCCAATCAGAAGGGGAATATTCCAGGGTGATTCCTTTGGTCTTTTGCCATTTTTGTTTGTCAATAAATCCTTTGTCATCCCGGCCCTCCTCAGCACGGATCCCCAACACCGCTTACTCATCTCCCTTACATGGGTGACATTGAGCTCCTTGCCAAAGGAGATGCCAATTTGAAAGGGCAGGTTCACCTTGTCGAGCCTTTTTCTAATGATATTGGCATGACATTTTGACTCGACAAATTTAATATTCTTCATTTGAAACGTGGCAAGGTATTTACTGATGGATCAGTAAGGTTACAGCGGGGGTGGGGGTGGGGGAGTTACTGATCATCTTGTGGAAGATCAGGCCTACACCTATCTTGGAATGCAAGTTCGAGACAAGCTCCAGAATGTCAAGATTCAAGACAAACTTCGGGCCGTGTATAAAACTCGCTTAAAGAAAATCTGGAGCTCAGAACTTTAAAATGCACAAAACAAGGTCAAAGTCACCAATACTTTTGCTTTGCCAGTCCTTTCTTATTCCTTTGGAGTAGTTGATTGGACTACACAAGACATCCAGAGTCTTGACCGCCTGACCAGAAGGATCATGTCTGATAACAGAGCTCACCACCCTCGTTCCTATGGAATCCTGGAAGGGGACATTGTCGCGTTGTTGCATTGTCGCCCTCTGAAATACAAGCAAAATTAAACAAAACGCGACACGCGACATCGCGACATCGCGACAACGCGACATTTCGCCCATTTGTCGCATTGTCGCGATGTCGCGTGTGGCGTTTTGAATAATATAATTTTTCATTCCTCCAAAGGGCGACACGCGACATAGCAACAATTTTCAAGGTGAAAATATGTCGCGTTGTCGCGTGTCGCCCTATGTAAGATGTGTAAAAAAACAGCCTAAAAGTTTACTAAAACATGACACACGACAATGCGACAACGCGACATTTTGATGAAATGTCGCGTTGTCGCAATGTCGCGCGTCGCGCTTTTGTCGTAGGCACTTTGATGGGGTATGGGTTTTATCGGGAAATATAGACATGTTTGTATATTCTCTGAGTTAAGTTAAAGTTGTGTTATCTAAATCTAAATCACAGTGCTGACAATATACATGCAATATCAGCAGCTTATTATCATGACCATCAGCACAGCCATGTACAGATCCGCTGCCTGCGTGTAATTAACCCTAATGAACCTTATTAGAGTATGGCCGGCTGGCCACGGAAGTTTAACATTGTGGATGAGGTGCATGCTGGATACTGCAGGTTGACCATACATGTATCATAATACGATACAGGACAGCCTGGCAGTCAGTATAGTATATAGACAATGAATTCTTAATGTAAGGGGACTTGACCCTCGGACAGGGGCTAGGCGGATGGGCTGACGATCGCCTCTGTGATGCTGCCTGGCCGTTGCTGCACTATCATGTAATTACATACTTAGCTGACGAATAAAGTGTTGTGGACCCACTGATGGACTTTTGTGTTTGAAGAGACAATATCCCCCAAAACGCGTTAACCATCCCGGGATATATTGGTGGAGACAAGATCCCTGAACCTCTCTCCAAGAAGTTTTTCAGCAAATATCTGTCGAGATTCATCCACCCTGGGTCCACATCACAACAGAAGTCAAACAGGCACCACCATCAGGCTAAGTCTACGAGAACAGCCAGCCACCCAGCTTGTCAACTGAGTAACAATTTGCATTTTGGACGCTTATGAGATCCATCGTTTACAACTACAAAAAAGTGATAGTGTTTCATGGAACGCCGGTGTAAAAACAAGAACTGGTCCGTTGACGCTCCACCGTACACAGATTCAAGCAACACCTGTACGACGTCCTCCTTCTTCCATATCCTGTGTCTGTGTAAAGAAACTCAAAGACTGATTCCAAGACGAAGAGGTCACCTCATCTACCATGTGTTATTGACATTGTGACTTTTAGTGGACTGTGCTTTGTTCTGTGAATTTGTAATTGTTCTGTGATTTCCACGATTGTATCCTACAGGGTGAGTGTTTATACCATTTAGTTCATTCTTTAAAGTACAATGCCTCTCTTTTCGTTTAAATCTACTAAATCTGACGACGGGTCCTCCAGTCCATCCTGTTTTCCCAGGAGGGTCCTCCGAAAGTCTAAACGTACAACTACCGCCACTCGCACATTCTCTCCATCAGCCTCCCCTCAGCCTACCACCTCTAGTCCCGGTAATCACCCATGTCGAATTCACAATCCCCACTGTGATAACCGTTGTTGCTCTCCCCCTCAATGTTCCTCCCCGCCCGTAGAACGCCCCGCTGACCATTCCCAACCCCATGTCTGCTGCACAACCCTCCCAATGCCACTG